TTTACTTTTTTCAAAAGAATTTTGCATTTATTACCAAACTTGAACTTCACAATAACTCATAAGATAGGAAAGACTGAATTTATCCACATTTCAAATACTGAGTCATGTTGACCTTTCACATCTTAATGTAATCTATAAATTATAAGATATAATTTGCTATGAAATGTCAGAAATAATTTTTGAATTAAATACTCAATTATTTTTGGATAAAAATTCAAAGATCTGTATCAAAGGACTGAACTTGATATGCAGCAAAGTGTCATGAGTGTGGATTTTCGACTCAGCCTCTCTGGGTCTGCAGTCTAGCTCTCCCAGAGCTACTTATATAACTGTGAGCCAACTGCTTAACCTCCCTGCCTCAGCTTCCTAATCTGTAAAATGGGAATCATAATACTACCTACTGAATAGGGTTGCTGTGTGAGGATTACCTATGATACCTAAAGTACATATAGCAAGACCTAGCACACAGAGTAAGTGCTGTGTATATTCTAGCTACACTATTATTAATGTTCTTACTAACATGATCTGCAATTTGGGAATTATAATAGCCCTCATAGGAATTATATGGAATCCGATATTCCATATAATATTATATTATATAGTAATTAATAGGAATAGGGATATTCCTATTATTATAATAGGAATTATAATAATCCTCATACAGTTGTTATAAGGATTAAATGAGTTAATAAGAATTAAGTGCTCAGCACAGTGATGAGCAAATGGTAGGCATTCACCAAAACTGTCATCTGTTAATCTCCACAATTTCTGGGCTCTATGGCCTTGAGCAGAACTTTTCTGAGCTTCAGTTTCCGCATCTTTAAAATGAGGTTACCATACTGCAGTATTATGCTAAGGACTAAATGAGATACTTTACATAAAAGGTCTTAGTAGAGTGCCTTCTGCCATAAAAGCATTCAATAAGTATTCAATTTTAAAACAAATCTTATTCAGTATTATTAAAATAATATTTTGTTTGATTTAAAGCACTCAACATTAACATTTTTAAGGTATAGAATGAAAGCATGATTACAAAAATTATTAATGTTCACACAAATTCAAATGTGTCCTAACATTTACTTCAATTACTTCAGTGTTTTTAAGTATTATAAAGCCTGCATGCTTCCATTCCTCCTGCTGACCAATGTCATTACATGTACTCTGTCAAAGAATCAGGAGAGAAGTAAATAATAACCAATATGCAGTGCATTGTTACAATATGCCAGATACTTTTTCTGAGAGCTTTATATACATTATCACATTCACAACGTCCTCAGAACACCCAAAAGGACAGCTTCTATTATGTCTCCATCATCTATTACATCCAACACGTGAGAAAACATGAAACAAAGTACTGTTCAAGGTTTGCTGTATTTGGAACAGAAACCAACTGCCCGTTTCATTTGTGGGATCTGCTATAAAAGACAGTATTTGAAAAAAGTCAAATAAAACTTTTTTTGCAGAAAACTTGTAGAATGTGTTTGTTCATACTGTATTTCTAGACATATGTTATCAATACAAGAGCCACCAGCTATATGTAGCTATTGAGCACTTGAATAGCACAAACTGCAATGTGCTGTAAGTGTAAAATACACATCACATTTTGAGCTTAATATAAAAAATGTAAAACATCCCATTTATAAATTTTGTATTAATTACATGTAAAAATGATACATGTGTAACATCTGGATACACTGGGTTAAATAAAATATATTATTAAAATTGATTTCACCTGTTTCTTTTTACTTTCGTTAACGGAGCTACTATAAAATTTTGAACTGTCTGAATGATGCAGAAGACCACAGCTAAGGGCAAATCGTGATGGAAGCTTCATCATAACAATTTACCCACTTGTGCATTAAGTCTCCTGCCGTTTTTTGGCAAAACATCATATCACCCAGAGGACGCAGCTCCCTGTGACTATTGACTTTTCCTAAAACCAAAATCACCTTCGAAAGGGAAGGGATTTCAGACCATCAATAAGATTCAGGAAAATACGACAGGGCAGCTGATGGCGATTGGGAGAACTGTGTGAAGTCCTAAAGTGCCTCCTTTGAAGGGGACTGAGGGATCATTGATCTATGCACAATGTTTCTTATATCTTCTTCAATAAATGTCTCTATTTGTCATACTACATGGCTAGATACCTGGGGTCTAGACAGACCCTGTATGTATATCTAGTTACCTATATGTGTGTGTGTATATACATATACAGGTATACACACACACACACAGAATGTATTATGAAAATGGGAGGAACACACTACACTAATACTTCACTATATTCAACACACAAGATTATTTTACCAGGCAAACACTTGAGGCAATACCAGTATTTTGTGGATGAAGAAAGAAAAGCAAATCTAAAGAGGAAATATAGCCATGAGAAAAATATTTATTTTCTTTTAAATTGAAATCATAAAGGCCCCTTTAATAAAAAAAAGATCTAACCACTTAGTTTCAGGGGTACAATAAATGCCAAGTCTATGTGGTAAGCAAAATTTAAATTTCCTGATGGTTTAACTAACAGACTATTAAAATATCTGATGTTTGATATCTGGTATCTTCTAGAAAATATCAAGTTTATGGATACCTGTCACATTGTTTTGATCAATTTTATACATTTAACTGATTCTTCTAAGCAGATACTGGTCCACTATATAGATGAAAATTGTTCCATAAAGTTTACATCAGATATCTGGAAAAGTCACATTTATAGTCATGGCTACTATCAGCTGTCAAGCCAAAGAATATTGAGAAAAACCAAGAATTTTTAATATATGCTGGTTAATTTATCATCTAAGTGACATATGTAGGATAACAAAAAATTGAAAATGATTAAGCAAAATTCTGCATTTTGAAAGGTTCTTTTTTTTCTGGTTTTATTTTTAATTGCAACTATGATTTGAAAAGCCATGGTGAAAAAGCAAATTAACAGGAACCATAAAAATAGAGCTGCTAAATAAAGTACACACAAAGATTTCTTCCCTTCCACAGATTATTTAAAGCATTAATTTTTTAATCAGTAATATACCAAGATTTTAATTTGTAATAAAAAGTAGTTAAACCATCTATTCCAGGATTTTTCAACACTGACTCTATTTACATTTGGGGCTGGATAATTCTTAATTTGGAGAGACTGTCCTATGCATTGTAAGTTGCTTACCAGCATCCCTGGCCTCCACCCAGGAGATGCCGATAGCACCCTCCCCAACAACCGTGACAACCAAAAATGTCCTCTGTGAGGTAGAAATCTCCCTTTAAGAACCACTGATCTATTACTACCCAAGATACCTTCCTACTTTGTGAAAATTCCCTCAGTGCTTCCTAAACTACTGTTCTTTGGTTTTAAGAGCTCTTCACAGGGGATTCCCAGACAGCTTCAGCAGAGAGATGAGTAAACTTACTGCAACCATATGCAGAATAGTCTGGATATGTTTTTAGTTGCAGCATGTGGGCACTGGAATGTGTTTCATCAGATCCTGAAAGAGTTTTTCCAGAAGTGGCAATTAAAAAAGGGTTAAGAATTAGTGCTGCAACTAAAATGTTTGCTGTGCCCTGAGCCACCTTTTCAAAGCTAGAAAGATTGAAAATACTAGTTTATACACAGCAAATAATTTATCGGTGCTATCAATTATCAGGCAAGACTGCTTTTACCATACTTATAAACCCTTCATTCAAATTTACTGACTACATTATATATTCTAGGCACTACATCACTATCATTTGAAAGCTAAACTTAAATTCCAGCTCCCTCACCAAGAATAAATAAATAAATATTTTAATTGAAAAAAATAATATAAAATCCATATTTATTTCCTATAACCAACTAAAAGTTCTGCTCCTCAAAAGCCGACATATGAAAATACACTAGCTATAATACTAGTGCCTAATGATAAAATAAAGGTAAATAAATAAACACAATTTATATTATTGGTTAAAAATACAAATCTTCTTAAAAAAACCTTAAAGATACTCAGACTCAAATGAATACATTAGTATCCAACACATTTCTTTCCATCTCTCTTTCTTTCCCTGCCTTAAACAGAACACAAATGTACTGAATGACATACTATGTATAAGACATAGTTATTAAGCCCAGAGATTATTAAGTTGCATAAGAAATACAATGGAATAACCAAGCACCTAGAATCTTGTCCAAAACACAGGAAAAGTTCACCGTTCCTTCTCTTCCCTTTCTGTCCTCAAGATGCTCATAGTCCCATCTCCAATATAAATATCACATGTTTTATGGTTCTCTTTTATCTTTTGGATGCTAGACCAAAAAAATCCTCTTTTTGATTCAAAATATGTAAGCTAGCTAAAGAAACAGCAGCTAAATTAAAATATTTGAATAATTATAATTCTATAATCTACATAAACATTTCTCTCTCTTTTTAAAAAAAAGAGCTATAACAACCCCCAAGTATCCTATTTTTCCTATAGTGCAGTTAAAAGTTTACAGGGCCACTAACCTTTTTTGGATTACACCATTGTGATGTACAACTTAAAGAGCTATTGTATTCAATAAGTGGTTTGGGGATAATAGACACTAATATAGTCAATAAGTGTCTAAAAATGACTACAGAAGACTATCTCTGCTTCAAGATTACCAAATGGATTAATGCTAGAATTAGTACAATGAGAAAATGATGCTTTAAAATATGTGGTGAATAAATCTTTACAAATAAGTTAGAAAATAATTCTGTGTCTGTAAATGAATATATCACCCCCCCAAATCAATACCATCATATCTAGCCCAAAACAAAACTAAGAAACAGAAGTGACTTTTTACAAAAAGAATGAATAATGAAGATTTTTATGTTTCTACTACATACTGACAACAATTAACTGAACAATATATAATAAAATTACCCTTCAGAGAAGAGATGTTATATTGATAATTGTAAATCATAGAAAAATTCTAAGCAGACCATATCAGATAGTCTGGGGGGGTTATAATTCAGAATGAAAAAATACTACATTATTTATATATTTACCTGCACAGCAAGAGAAGCTGCATTGTCAGAAAGCAAAATTTGCTCCCCTGCAGAAACACAATAAAAGGTTGGAGTCAAAAGTGTCATTGCTAAACAAGATATATTTTCACTTTTAAAAATATTCCTGTTTTTAAAGAGATATAGCCTTTCACTAACATAATTATGAAGCTCTATATCAATGCTATTGTGTAATTATAATTTTGATTATATTATCATTGTATGTAAATAATGATAAAATAAGACTACTTCCTCTAAAACTGGTATTTTATCACATTTTATCAGCAATATGTAATTAAAATTGCTCATTTAAAAACAAATTCATTTTTCAAGTTTTCAAGATATAGTCCTCTTCTTTTCATCAAAATTAAGCATATTTTAAAACTAAGGACCATTTGTATATACTCAAACCTCCCTAGTTAAAAGTAAAGCCATTCAGGACCACACAAAACCAGCTTGTACTTACTATTGCACAGTGTGTCTAGGTCTGTCACACAAAAGAAAGATGACAAGTTCGCTGCAATAAAAATTCCATGCTTAGAAGACTAGGGCTGCTGCCTATTAGTCTTCATTACTTTGCAGTCTTCTGACAATTGTAGCAGGCTGCTGAGCCCCAAATGGGGTCCATAATGTGATCTGATGATATATGAAGAGCTGCTAAAGGGAGCCTGAACCATCCTAGCCTATACATTTTAACAGTTCCTTTTTACTGAGAGCCCACTTTACCACAGGACTTCAAAAATCTGCTGTGTCAGCTGTTGGAGCAGTAAATCTGCCAACTGCTCCTGCAACCACATCATTTTACACTGCCTACAGCAGCCAATATAATGAGTCAATAATAAACTAAGGACCTTATAAAGCCATGAATAGTTGGTTTACACTGGCAGATACAAGTTTAGGCAAAATCTCCTTGACAAATTACACAAGGGAATCTCTTTTCTTTATGTTTTACCTTCTCCTTGCAGTAAATTATACTATTGAGGGATTTTTTGGTAATAAATATCTTTTCATGCAAATCCATTTTTAATTGTGAACAAGTTCCTACCTTTCAGTTGCTGATATAATGTAGCATTTTCAGGCCAAGGTTCTGTAGCTGAGGAAACAAGATAGTGATAATTAGGCACACAGTGCAAAAACACACGAATAACCTGCCAAATTAATAAGCCTATACAGTGGCTTAGAGCACTTAAAAGCCAATTGCCAAGGTTACCTTAACTGTGGCAACTAATCATACGTTAGGTTCTATGGTAACCTGTATAAGTAGGTTTGATAATGTTTTAAATGAATGTTTGGTTTATTGTTTGGTGGTAATTTTTGTTTTTTATGGGGAGGAGGTAGAAGACATCTTACCCAATCAAAATGAGATTTGAAAAAATAACACGCTATATGCTACTATTCATTTAGCTTCCTACAAGCACAGACATACCCAAAATATTTCTTATATACATAAAAAATAATGAACCAACTATAAATGTTTAACAAAATAAATTTTCAAACAGACAACACTGCATGAATGAATCAAATATATCTGTATGATGCTGTGCACGTTGTCTTACAAACTGGTAGCATTTAAACATACAGAGGAACCCTATTGTATTCTAGAACATTTCATTCCCTTGACCCCACCACCATCACTACCCCACAAAACACAAACAAGCTGACATCAGCAAATTACAGCAAAGGACAGTAGCATGATGAAATAGTAAGTACCTACAATATCAAATAACACTGGTAAAGCTAATTTTAGGTCTAAAGCTAGACTTGACCTTGACCCTTAACCATTCATCTATAGAAGACTCTAGCTAGCTACAAAGAGAGTATTAGCAACCTACCAGTGCTTTAAAAAAGCACTAGATTTAAATTTTGTACATTGCACTTAAGAAGCAATGTCTCCACTGATAGATTATACAGGATATCATTTGTTGAATTCTTCTTTGTAAAAGCCATAAAACATCAGAATGTTAACACAGTAACTACATTTACTCTCAGGAAAAAGGATATTAAACATATGAAATCTGATAATAATTAGTATTTTCTTAGTGTTTTAACTAACCTAGTTTCTGTGACATAGCAACAAATTATTTCTTAGTATATAACTGTAGCTGATATTTTTTAAAAATTTATGCATGTGCCCTGGCAGATATAGTTCAGTTGGTTGGAGTGTCACCCTGTAACTGAAAGGTTGTGGGTTTGATTCTCAGTCGGGGCATGTATCTGGGTATTGGGTGTGATTCCAGTCGGGCACGTACGGCAGGCAACCAATCAATGTTTCTCCCTCACATCACTTCTCCCTCTCCCTTCCTCTCTCTTTCTAAAAGCAATTAAAAAATGCCCTTGGGTGAGGGTTAAAAAAATATGTATATGAAGCTTTTTTCTTCTTATGATCCCTTAAGGTGCACTAAAACAGTCCCAGAGATAAAGGAACCCCTTAATTTGCTTTTATTTATACTTTAGAATGAGAAGGAAAACATACTAGTGGTATTATAAATTATAAATGCTATTTTTTGCTTTTGTTTAAGCTATACAAAGTTAAACTCATACTTGAGTAATACCATGAATCATCTAACAAATAATGAACCATACACAGTTTTGTATGCTGTTAGCTACAGTATTACACATATATGTAAAGGCTGCTAAGTTTCAGCTCACATACAAAAAAGGCTGTGAAACAAAGTATGTGTTATGTTACTGTTTTAACCCAGTAAAATTTTAGTAAGAACTCAATTAGCCTGTGTAACACAGTTTTCTAAGTCGGAAAACAGAAACAAGCTGATATCAGCAAATTACTCAGAAATACCCTTTCAGATAAACTGTATGGTCAGCACACCGACACTGTTTATATCTGTATGAGAAAAAAAATAAGGTTCATTCATTATCAGGTCCTACATCATCAAAGATTCAATTATATGCATTAATTAATGTTATTAAAGCAATAAAGCATAGAAATAAAATTTGCAAAAATTGTAAAGATATTAAAATGTATTTCCTTGAGGAGACATACTATGTTTTTGGACTATAAGACGCACCCCCTCCCCCAAATTTGGGAGAAATAATGGTCGTTAATGCTGCTGTTGAGTTCTGCTTACATTTACATTGGTGAAATATTATGTTATTTATGTTATTAAATATTTTACCACATTTTTCGCTTCAATTTTTTTCCCTATTTTCCTCCTCTAAAACCTAGGTGCATCTTATGGTCTGAAAAATACAGGTATGTTGGGTGCATCTTGTGTATGCTCCACTGTACCATGTTGGGCATACAGTTGGTGTTCATTAATTGTGCATGGAAAGAAAAGGAATATATTAGTTAAACCTACTATTCTATTCCCCAAATATTCTGGCTAACTAAAATTTTACTGAACTTAATATTGTCAACTACATTAAAGAAATTAGGTGTTCTATTAAATATTCTGGTACTTTTAACTGTTTGTTAGCTGTTTTGTATACATACTAGACAGATTAGAAAATTTTAAACAATGGAATAATGTATCCTTTGCATTAAATACATGCTGAATATAGTTTATATTCTATGATAAATCAAAAACTACTTCACTACTCTGCAATATAAAGAGTTCTCATATAGACTGTAATTTATGTGCTCAATAATTCCAGTTAAAAGTTCATTTATCACTCAGGCTGATGTGGCTCAGAGGGTTGAGTGCCGGCCTGCTAACTGAAAGGTCACTGGTTCAATTCCCAGTCACAGCACATGCCTGCAGTGTGGGCAAGGTCCCCCACTGGGGGAAGATGAGAAGCAGCCAATCAATGTTTCTCTCCCACTCCCTCTCCTTTCCTCCACCATTTCTAAAAAATAAATAAATAATTTTTTAAAGTGAATTTATTATCACCCCCATGGCTTCTCCAGGTCTATTACACCAGACCTGTGTGAAAGTAAAAGAAATCTTGCAACATATTGCCTGACTGAAAATAAAAATAAAGTTGCCTAGAAATAATAAAAGCTCTGTTATTAAGAACCTAATGCTAAAAATGGAGGTAAAAATGGTATGTTTTTCTTTTTTTAAGATTTTATTCTTTTATTTTTAGAGAGAGGGAAAAAGAGGGAGAAAAACATCGATGTGTGGTTGCCTCTCACACATCTCAGCCCCTACTTGGGACCTGGCCTGCAAACCCAGGCATGTGCCCTGACTGGGAATTGAACCAATGACCCTTTGGTTTGCAGGCCGGCACTCAATCCACTGAGCCACACCAGCCAGAGCTGTTTTTCTTCATCCAAGATGCAAACTATGTTCCAACTCAGAAATTATTACTGAAAATAAATTCTCAGAAAGTTAACTGCAAAACATCTGATGTTTTCTTCACAAATAGAACCTACCATTTAAAAAGAGAAGGCAAGAACTCCGAAAGAAACCTATACAATCATGTTATTGTACCAGCCTGAAACTCCAGTGAATCCATGGACCAGGAAGCAAGAAATGGTAGAGGAGGTGGGGACTGGTCACCAGCCTTTCTCACCCATGAGCAGCTCACAGGACACAAGTACCACTGGTTTAAATGTGTCACCTACACACACCAGCTCAAATAATTACATTTTAAACATGACACGGGACAGACAGCCCAAAGTGAAAATTCCTAAATTGTGTGTGTGTGGATCTACAAATCAACCATGCAGGTTACTATCTAGGAAATGAACTCTTCAACTGCCTTCATAAGCAAGTCCCTGAGTCATGAGCATTACCATCCACACATAAAGTAGTAAGCCTATTTCCTGCTTTGGGCAATATTAAATTAAAGCCTTTTTCCTGAGAAAGCCTATAATGAGAAAGACAAAGTACGAAAATACTTCCCTACTTCCCTTTCCCAAGGTTAAGCAAGTCAATACCCTCCCCTTGGTTCTGACCATGTGAGACATTAAGAACTTATGGTGCTAACGACGGGCCTTACAAATCTGTAGTATTTAAAGAACTAGTTAGTATAAAGGGCACATGGACAACAACTAGGAGGGGTGGAAATGGGAGGGAAGTGGGGTGTACTGAGGGGGCTGGGATGGGAGTAAAAGACAGAAAACTGTACTTGAACAACAATTAAATTTTTAAAAAAATTTTAAAAGAACATAACAAAAAATCTGCAGTGTTTAAAAAGAAAAATCTTTTTTAAAAAACAGTAAAACATTTTAATCATGTGTTTCACTTTATTCAACCTAAAATGTTTTAGACCACTATACATTCAATATTGAATAAAATTTCATAACTCGTCCTATTCTCAGTTTCTACCATCAAAAGCACTCTCTGATATGAAATGTCTTTTTAAGCCTGCCTTAGGGAAGGGCCAGCCTTAGAATAAATATAGAAGGTGAAGCTCAAAGTTTCTAAACAGAAGGCTGGTAGGAAATGCAGGTTGAAAGAGAATGTGGTTTAATGCTGCCAAGGTGCAAGTTACTGATATTATTAGTACATCAAAAGTAAACTTTATGCTTAAAGTTTGTATGGCTTTTAGAATAAAGAGCCCCATAGTAGTTCGTGTGGCTCTTGGAGTAAAGGTCAGAACCATCATCTTGGCCCTATCACCTTGACACATCACCTTCTCTACCTCTCTGGCCTCATGCCCCCTCCACCCCACCCACTCTGTATTCCAGCCACATTGGCCTTCATCTAGTTCCTGAATGCACCCCGTTCCTTCCTGTCCTAGAGATGCATTTGTGCTGTTTCCTCTGCCCTGAAGCAATCTTCCCATCCTACTGTGTCCCCACATCTCTGCTCAAGCATCATTTCCTCCAGCTGGGCCAATTTCATGGACAGGCAACCTGAGCAGCTGCACAATGCCTGCATTTAGAAAGGCTCCACTCTTGGTTTTATGCTCTGCTAGCCCAGTCCTGAAATTTGTTTGAACCAGGGTCTTCTTGTTTTCATTTTGCACTGGGCTCTACAGCTGATTCTGTCCTCAGGGAAGCCTTCTTTGACCTCCCTCAATAGTTCCAATACTCTCTTTACAAGCTTGAGTAGCACGCATACTCAGTTGTACCAGTTATCACAGTCAGAAATTTGACATGGAATTGAGGACTATTTGGTTGTTTATCTCCCTCAGTAGAACATAAAAGCACCATAAATCCAGTGTTCATATCTGACTTTTGTTACCACTTCATCCCTAGAACCCAGCCCCTAATAGGCAATCGATCAATAGATATTGACTGAACAAATGTCTTTTATTATTACCACTATCATTATTATTATTATTCTGTACCATTTGTGCCAAGAACGTAGCCTGGAAATAGAAAAACTATACAACATGCTCCAAAAAAGAAAACTTTACCCAGAGAACTTCAACACTACAACCAATATGACAACTGTAAGAATATTAAACAATTGCCTCAAATAGTTGGCAGAATGTAATTCTATAAACTTACTTACACTGACCCTAACAATGGCAATTTGTTTCTATATTTTATATCAAATACAGTTTTCATGAGATATTACTGTTGCAACACTCCTAAAGCTAATATAAGGCCCTCAACCATCCGATAAGTAACCTCACTAATCCCCTTTCCACATTCTGTAGCTAAGCCAGGGAACACCACTTTTTAAATTTCATGTATCCATCAATAAAATAACGAAGTATGTAGGTCCAAATAGATTTAGAAAGCATATGATTGGTATTCCTGAGCTAATAAATCGCATACATTACAAAATACACACTAAAAAAGAAAGTAGAGTTAAAATAACTGAAATCCAAGTTCCAATATTTTTATCCCTACACTTTAAAGGATTGTCTTGTATAACACAAGATGTATATGCCCCACCCCACTTTGGAAAACACTGGCTACTTTTCTGAAATCCTAGCAGGGGACTCCTCCTCTGCTTTAGTGAAATTCTTCTTTGACCACAGAAAAAGCTTGGAAAGAACACATTGAAATTAATGGAAAGAAGGGACATCTGCCTACCTCATCCACCTACATCAGGACCCTCATATCCTACAAGAGTAACTGAAATATCCCCCACACATTTCAAACTTTCTCACATTTGTGACTTTGCTCAAATAGTTCCCCTCTGTACAGAACACCCCTTCAGCAGCACAAACTTAAATCCTATACCTGTCTCAAGACCAAGTTAAATGCTAACTGTTTATTTTTTCCTTTGTCCTTTTTCCTCTTTTTTTCAATTTTTTTTTTCGTGTCCTAGAATGTGAAAAATTCCTATGTTCCTGAGATTATTTATTAAAGACTTGGCTTTTCAATTGCCCCAAAATGAATATGGCATATATAATAATGTATGCCAACATATGAAATTAAGCAAGATTTAAATTTTTTGGTCTAAGTACCATTTAAAGCTAATATCTTTATTACAAGAGTTCCAAAGTAAAACAACCCACCTTTCAAAAATTTCTTTCACAATAGAAATCTACTATATAATTTTCACACCAAAGTAGTAAGTTACTGTAAGGCACTCTTAGTGACCTACCTTAATTCACTCTTTAAAATTAGAATGACTTCTTATTCCTTAGCAAAAAACCATGAAAGTTTTTATCATTTCTATAAAGAAGAAATATATTCTTACCCTACAGACATAAAGAACATTTAGAAATAAGGCAAGTATCAGAGCACCACATAACAGAGTTTCTATCAAATTAACATTATTACAAGTCTTTAACCCACTTAATCCTTTACTTACTTTCCAATTCTGCCCAAGCAAAATGATTATTTTACATTTAGTATCTCTTTTACCAGGTACAAAGAATTTGCCTCTTAAGTTTCAGTCTTCAGTGGAATAGAGAGGTTTTGTGTTTTTTTTTAAATCTGAACAAGTGTTTGTAAATTTTTCAAAGAAACTTTCTCCATCCCTAACAGTATTCATGTTAGAGAACCAATGAGAAAAGACAGTGGGAATTTATATGCCTGGACTTTTGAAAGCCTTAAAAGAGACTTAATAATTCATCAATAAATAAATTAGTATTAGAAACACACACATGGTAAAGCAACACCCACAACCCAAAAAAACACATTATTTGCTTCTCATTTAATTATCTTTAAAGCACCTATGATTTTAACCTTTATCAACCAATACAATATAATAAAAAAATCAATATTCTTCGCTACTAACCCATTACAATTTTTAGAGAAATGACTACTAGCAAATAAATTCTAGGGATATATATATCCCTAGATCTCTTAAAGACTCTACATTTTTACCTGCAGTATTCTCTCAAGTCAGATGATAGGTCACTGTGGCAGCAGATGATCTATCTTCCCATTCAATTCAGGGTATGTCACAGTATGAAAGTGCTATGACCTAGTAAATAGTCTAATTCCAAAGTCCGTATCTTGATGATCTAATCTAAGAGGACAAGAGAAAAGCCATGAAAAGAGGTGCCCTGTGGTGGTGGTGTTTTTGAAGTTCTGCATCCTTAATGTACAACATGATTCCTCTGGCATGTGGATGTAGGTGAAGACATAATTTGTAGAATAATAGGCACCAATATTACACACTGCTTCAGTGCTGTCATATTTCCAATCCATCAAATTGATTAATGTTATAATAACTCTACATAAACCTATCACTTGTGCACTAATGAAGTCAAACCCAGCTTATCCTTAAGTAACTGGATTCCAAAAGCTCATAGATGTCATCTCTTCAGCATCCAAAGATAATGTAGACAGTGTCACACAAAAGGACTACAAAACACACGCAGCCTATCTCCAAATATGAATGGCTTCCTGCCAAAGGTGTAAATACAAATACTACTAATATACAAAAAGCTCGGAGCACTTGACAGCTCTTAAACATGGACAAGTTACTGCAAGACTTGTGTAAAAAAGAAGGAAATAAATTTATTAGTTTGACATAAATACTATTCTGATGATTTCAATGATATCAACAGACATTAATCTCAAAAACCTATCAAGTTTCAGTTATGATATAAAAGCCTCATTTAAGTAGATTTTAAAGATGTTTAGACTTAAAATATGATGTCATGTAACTTTATCAAAATTAGAATTTTAAGAGCTATGAATTACATTCAACAGCAATTTAACCTGCAAACTACAGAGCAACTCAAAGATAACACCACATCTCAGATAACACTGATAATGAAATGATTAAAGAGTGATGCCCGCCCTCTCCACTGTTTCATAGGGATATTTAATGATATTACACAGGATATGTAAGCAGGAAGCGACTCTTCCCACAAAAGGAGTTTAAAACCAACCACCCATACCTCAACAGTCAGAGAGCAATGTTCATGCAAGAAAGTGGCTCATATTGACAACTGGAGAAGCGCAAGGTAACACTGTCATTTCCATAAACCTAAAAATCTGGCAGGTAGCATTTGGTATCATTAGTAGTGAGTGAGGCTACTGTCTTAGTCCATTTGGGTTGCTTGTAACAAAATACCACAGACTAGGTGACTTATAAAGAAATTTATTTCTACAGTTCTAGAGGCTGGAAGTTCAAGATCAGGATACAAGTACAGTCGGGTTCTGATGAAGGTCCTCTTTCAGGTGGCTAAGTGCTGACTTTGTGCTGTGTCTTCACATAGTAGCAGGGAAATGGAGCTCCCTGAGCCTCTTCTGTAAGAGCACTAATCCCAATCATGACCCCATCATTTCCCAATGGCCCTACCTTCTAATACCATTAGCTTGAGGAATGGGATTCCATACAATTTGGGGGAACATAAAAATTCAGATAGATGACAGCAGTAAAAGAATTATAATGAAAGCAAGTACAGATTTAAAGATTAAAGACTACCTTAGACTGAAGTTAAGGGCCCTGAAGCAAGTAACAGACCTTCTAGGATAGAGTGGAGAGGTGTAAGACACAGATACAAAAGGATCCCCAGACTCCAGAAGGAAATTCACACCAGAATTATTCCCCTGGCTACAATTATCATCAGTCCTTAACAGAGAAGAAACTTGTTGACTGACATCAGAGTCTACTGTATATTCTTAATTGCTTGTTGTTTATAAATATGTATAGTAAATTGTACATAGTTCTCATTTTAACAAGTAAACTTAACCACACTCTACAAATCTGTTTTATCACTCATTTGATAAATATTCAAAGAATATATATACTACACATACATACATATATATATATATATTCTATACACACACACATATATTCCCACCGCCCCTCCCCCTACACACAGATGTGCCAGGTACCATTCTAAGCACTAAAGAAATAATTGTAAAGAAAATTAAGGCCTGTAGCCCTGAGTAGCTACTGGTTAGATAGTCAGCCCAAGACACCAAGATTATGGGTCTGATCTCCAGTCAGGGCACATATATTTATGAATGCATAAATAAGTGAAACAACAAATCAAAATATATTTGTCTTTCTTTCTTCCTTCCTCTCCCTCTTTCTCTCATCTCTTCCCCCTTTTTTCCTCTATCTAAAAATCAATAAATAAATTTTTAAAAAGAAAATTAAGGCACCTTAGACTTTAGTGGTATCGTGTGGCCTATCTTCATATTTGTTACCTTTATAACATTTCAAATTTAAAATTCTGACAAATACTGGAATCTATTTGACAATGACAATAAAGATTATCTGATCTGTCCTAGCTGGTGGTTCAGTTAGTTATAACATCGTCCTGTATACCAAAAGGTTACGGGTTTGATTCCCAGTCAGGGCACATACCTAGGTTGCAGGTTCAATCCCCAGTTGAGCACATACCATATTTCTCTCTTACATTGGTGTTTCCCTCTCTCTCTCTAATCAATAAAAACATATCCTCAGATGAGGATTCAAAAAAATTATCTGATGTACCCATAACAAGGCTTAATTCTGTTTGGTCTACATGTTGCATAAAACTAAGAAAAAATTACATACAACAGTACACAACCTCCACTATACCAAATGAATGTCAACTTACTGAGCCCACAGCAAATAAATCATACCCCACAAATCCCTCATCAATCTCCTCAACCACCCATTCATTTGTAACAAAGTCGTAAACAAAAAAGTAAAATGACCCAAAGTGAGCACATATGAATGAATGATACAGTAGATAAACATCCAAGGCAAATAAATCTTAATATCATGAAGCCATTCATGACGCAGAAGACAGAAAGGAAAACAGATTAAAAATTGAGGAAAACTAGTACAGGGAAGAACTTCCTTATAGCCCAACGTTGGGTCCCAAATGAAATAGGAGAATAATGAGAATCCATCTTTTTCTGGTCAAACACTACCCAGACATTTACCTAGGCATATGATGATGATGGTTATGAGGTTGTAGCAGTTAAAACTCCTCAAGACTCTTAAAGTTTATATCCAGCATAAATGAACAACTTTTACAACTCAATAATAAAAAAAGACAACCCCCCAAATTTTTATGGGCATAGGATTTGAATACACATTTAAGGAGATGATGGCCAAGATACTCAATATCATTAGTCATTAAGGAAATACAAATGAAAATCACAACATACCATTTCACACCCATTAGAATGGCTACATCAACAAAAGAGAAAACAAATGTTTAGAGGATGTAAAAAAAATTGGAATGTTCACACATTGCTAATGGAAATATAAAAAGTTGGTAGTTTCTCAAAATGTTAAGCACAGAATTACCATATGACTCAGCAATTCTACTCCTAGTTATTCACTCAGGAGAAATGAAAAAACATATATCCACACAAAGACCTAAAAGTGAATGTTCACAGCAGCATTATTTACAATGTTCAAAAAGTGGAAACAACCCAAATGACCACCAAGCAGTCAATGGATGAACAAAATGTGGTATATCCATATAATACAATACTATTTTGTGATAAAAAGGAACCAAGTATTGATACATGCCCCAAAACAGATGAGCTTCGAAAGCACTATGCTCAGTGAAAAAAGCCAGACACTAAAGAAAACATAGTATATGATTCCATTTATATGAAATGTTCAGACTGGGCAAATCTACAGAAAGCAGATTAGTGGTTGACTCAGAATGGTCATGGGAAGTGACCATAAATAGGCAAGGAATTTCTTTTTTTGGAGTGATGGAAATGTTCTGTAATTAAGATGTAATAATCAACTCTGTAAATATACTAAAAAATCCTTAAAATACACACTTGAAAGGATATTTAAATGATCTCTCAGTAAATCTGAGGTAAATAGAACAGTTTAAGACTCTTATTGAACTTATTAAGCACATAAGTACTTGACATATTAACTATCTCACAACTTTATGAGATAGATACTATTGTTATTATCCCTATTTTACAATAAGAAAGTCGAGACACAAGTAATTTGCCCCATTGCTAGTAAGTGACAAGTAATCCGACTCCAGAGTCAGTGAACATACAAATATATTAACTGACATCTTCCAAAGCCCACAGTAAACATTCTTGGGTAATAACTAATTATTAGAATCAAAGCAATTATAATCACCCCACAACAATTTTTCTCAACCCTTAGTGCATAAGAATCACCTGAGGAACTTCATAAAATTGTATACTTCCACCAAACCCAAAACTCAGAGTTTCTACTACTGTAGACGCGAGGTCCAAGAATCCAACCAGGGCCACAAGCACTCCCAGTAAATCTGAAGCATATGATATGCAAACACCACAAAAAATAGATTGTACCCAGGACACAGAATATGCTTGAAATAAGATAAAGTTGTTTTCTCCTCTTTCATTCATTTGCCTCAAAGAATGTGGTATTGAGGATCTGTGTACATTAATTTTATTCAAGAGTATTTCTGCCCATCTTATTCTACTTAAGCATTTGTGGATATGGCTTAAAGCCATGTTTTCACATGCCTTTGTAACATGCTGCAATTTTATACTATTCCAGACTAAGTCTTTAAGATTAATGAACTGAGGCCTCACTTATTTTGGAAACAAAGTGGCTAAATGTTACTTTCTCCATTAGATGTAATCAATAAGGAAAGTAAAATTAAGTTAGTAATTATGAGACCTGAACAAAAATAAAAAACATCTGAATCTATCTATGTGAAACTAGAGATCAATTTCAAAATGGTATTCAAGGATCAATTTCATAAAACTGACAAATTTCTGGAGGTTAACAAGGGTCAAGAAAACACATTCGCATGAACAAGCCAGTAAATCAAACACAAGTTAAATTGAAAACCTTCCATTCTTTCTTTGTAGGTATGCATGTGTCATCTCAAATGGTATGTTTAGACTGCTACCATAATAAAAGTGAACAGCCATTTTTATCAGTTCCCAATAAAAAGCATGCCAATTACACATGATTATGAATAGATATGAACCTTGTAGCTAGGACTCAGAATTAAAATTCTTTTTATAAAAAGGTAATCTGAAATTCACAAGAGGAAATACTAACACCATGTCTGAGCTTTTCTCAGAAACAGA